TTTTTTTTAAAAAGAAAGCTGATTACTTCTAAATATTTGCATTATGCGCCCGATATTTTCCCCCCAGAAATGAAAGAAAAGAAAGGCAAATCTGTTTATTATCTGTTCCGCTGCACAGACCCTAGCACTGTTAATGATTGACAGGTAGAAGCCTAATAATTGACCTTTATCTTCCTAATGAACTGAGATTAATTATAACCTCAAGGTCTTGTCTGGGAACATACTAACAGTGCTGGGTGCGTTACCCGACTTCCCATGAGAACAACTATTCACAGAAACAAAATCACCATTTAAAACAGCGATTCTCAGCGGTGAATGCCATGACTTTGAGCTATTGCATACTATTTTTTTCGCATTTGTACTGCGCTCTTTTCAGTGTTGGGACGCTAACGTTTCATGCAAAATAAACCGTTTCGAACAGCATGGCCTATACTGGAAAAACGAGCAACAAATAGCCTGCAGATAATGACTGAACATTGCAACTGCAGCATGTTGCGTTTGCGTTTATCCAGCTTGTTGATCATTAGGAGGTTCATTAGGAGGGCCTACATGTTTGCACCTGATAAGAACTAGGCGTGAGTGGGTGCTCGTGCAAACACTAGTGTGAGAAAAGCCATGCGGCATCGCACCTGCGAGCGCGGAGTGGAAAAGGTCAGCCTGTCCGTCATTGTCCCTTTCTTTGTCAAGCTTAGCGCGAGTTAGCAGTGTATTTGAACCCAATGATCTATTCAGGAGAAACCTGTCAACTCATTTCAAGAAGAGTGAAATCGTTTTTTATTTAATGTTTCTACCATTAAAATATGTCATGAATCCTCTTCAATGCTCTTAAGAAGTGAAATGAAATGAATTACAATGAATGTTAATTCTGAATAGGTAGACGATTGATATTCAGAACCCTTTTTTTTAGTTTACAAGATATTTGGGTAACACTTTACAATAAGGTTCATTAGTTAAACATTAGTTAATGTATAAACTAACATGAACTAACCATGAGCAATACATTTGTTACTGTATTTACTAATCTTCACTAACGTTAGTTAATAAAAATACATTGTTAGTTCACAGTGCATTAACTAATGTTAACAAGATTTTAATAATGTGTTAGTAAATGTTGAAATTAACATTAACAAAGATTAATAAACGCTGTATAAGTGCAGTTCATTATTAGATCATGTTAATTAATGTAGTTAACTAATGAACCTTATTGTAAAGTGTTACCGATATTTGTACATACCATTTGATTGGACATTCATCTGTTTAGGCCTATATTTTGCTATTAAACATTTTCGGTTACCATTCTATTCGATTATGTTTATTAAGATATATTTGAAAACTATTTATCATTGTAGGTAATTTGAATTAATAACATGACTCTGTTATGAACGATATTCAATTAACTTGAACCAAACATAGGCTATATAATACGTTTAAAATCTTTTAAATAAAGTTAAATAGATGGGAACAAAAATATTGCCATAACAGCATCGTGTATTTCACCCCTCAGTGAAATAAGAAAAATGAATAATAGATCACCAGTCGAAATTATATCGACAACGTACATTCATTTGTAAAGTATTTTTGAGAGATTTTAAAGACGTCTAAATGTGCCCAGTTTTTATTTTTTTTTAAATAAGTCTACGTTTTCTTTTGTTGTTGTTATTTCGTATCTCTTTTAGTCTATAGTAGCCTATAACAAATTGTCTATCGCTCATTGTTATTGTTGTTTTAATTGCTGTTTTATCGTTTTATCAATTACATTTTGCACTTTTCTGTGGATAAAAATTATTTTTAGAAGATCAGTTGTGTTGACAAAAAAATGTTTGTGTGGCCAATTGACCGATAAGTCTTAAGATATGTGAAATGTATGGCTTGACGTTGAAATAAATGCGTGTGCAATGAATTAATTCGAATGCACTGGAAGTTTCTCAACTCTAAGGGCATCGAAATGAACCAATCAGAGAGTGTTTAGGAGGAGCGAGCTGGAGCGCGAGACAGTCAAAAACTGATGTCTGCACGCGCTCCAGGCATAACGTTGCGTCACGGGTATAGAGATGAAAACACGCAGTCATAGAGTAACAAAATCCACAACTCTCTTAAAGAATTAGACAATATTACAGACGGCCAGGCAAATAGTTTGGCCTAAGTAAAAGTTAATTCTCATTTTAGGCTAGTGTAAGAGGGGAAAAAAGAAAAAAAAACGCTCAAACTTATACTATTTTGTAATATATTTAGCTCGTAACATACTTGAGACTTAAAGTTTTCCTCAATGGATAAGTCGAGGAACTTTCGAATAGATGCGCTGTTGTCAGAGAGCTCTCAGCGGATGGTTCGCGAGGATTCGCCGGGACTGTGCACCGACGGCGCTGACATCGAGCCCGCGACCTGCAAACGGACAGAGAGCTCTCCTCCTCGCGCTTTTCACCTTCAGACAGGGGTCATACCCAAACCGGGCATGCTGAACATTTCTCACCCAGGATTAACGTTACTTTCCCAAGGGCCTATGCCAGGAATGTATCCCTCACCTATGTACTCCATCACGGCACTTGGAGCGCAGCATCCCACCTTCGCGTATTCAGGTTTCGCGCAGCCGTACCCGGAGCACCTGAAAGCAGCAGCCGTGGCCGGTTCGTTCCCGTTAGAACACTGGCTCCGGGCTGGACTCATAATGCCTCGCCTCGCAGACTACAGCGGTACGTGTCGCTTCTGCAGAATTATGCATATGCATTATAATATTTGTTCATTTTTATAGGTATATTAGTGCTTACTTTTTAAGAACGCCTTTGAATAAAAAAAAAGTCTAAATGATAATAATGCGTGTAATCTTGACGCAGAGATCTGGAAAATAGGCCTAAATTGTATTTACTTATTTTTACCCCAAGCGTATTTCCATGAAGCTGCAGCAATGATTATTATCATTTACAGTATTCATAAAGTTACAAATACATTTGCATGTATAAAACTTTATGTATTTTTTATGTAAAAAAATATATAACATCACATAAATATGTACAATATAAACGCATCTTTCTGCAAAATCACTATAAAGTGAACTCAGATGCCATAAATATTATCTAGCATAATTGAATCGGTATTTACTGCTAACGGAACTATAATGTAAGCTTTTTTATTTTCAGTCTTTTCATAGCATCATAAATGACAACTCCATTAAAACAGCCTGCTTCATCCAGAGGAAAACTATAAAGACACACTTAAAACGGTCTGAGCTTCATCAATAAAGTTATCTGGTAGCATTTATTGAATTTTCATTAAGTTAATGGTGCTCTCTGGTGTTTTAGTGTCCTTCCAAAGCAATATCTCCCAGTCATCAACAATAAACTGAAGTAAAGCTGTTATCATTATCTATTAGGGGGGAGGAACAAGAGGTGACTATGTTCTTGTTTGCTGCGTCTGCTTGGTGTCTTCACCGTATGTCTTTGTTTTTTGGCACAAGTCTTATACCTCCTTTATCAACTAACACTCTTCTCAGGGGCACCTCAGTCTGGTTTAATTGGAAAGTGCCGGAGACCACGCACAGCTTTCACCAGCCAGCAACTGCTAGAGCTGGAAAATCAGTTCAAACTCAACAAGTACCTATCACGACCCAAACGCTATGAAGTGGCCACTTCTCTCATGCTGACTGAGACACAGGTGAGGAGAAAGCAACACATGACAATTCATCATTTTTGCAGCAATGCCAAAGAAGATCAATTTTTGGTTCCCCAAAGAACCTTTCAGTCAACAATTCCTAAAAGAACTATTCCACACAAAAAAAAAAGCGAAGTGACATGTGGCGACCCATACTAGGAATTATTGCTCTGCATTTATCCCATCCAAAGCGCACACACACAGCAGTGAACACACACACCATGAACACACACCCGGAGCAGTGGGCAGTCATTTTTTGCTGCGGCGCCCGGGGAGCAGTTCGGTGCCTTGCTCAAGGGCACCTCAGTCATGGTATTGAAGGTGGGAGAGAGCGCTGTACATACACTCCCCCCACCTACAATCCCTGCTGGTACGAGACTCGAAACCACAACTTTTGTTGTTACGAGTCTGACTCTCTAACCATTAGGCCACGACTTCCCCACACTATTGTACTCAGTGTGAGGAACATTCTGAAGAACCTACTATAAAGAACCTTTAGTGCAAATTAAAAGGTTCAATGAATGTTAAAGGTTCATCATGGAACAATAGAGGCCAATAAAGAACCTTTATTTTTAGGAGTATTGGATGTTTTGGCAAATTGGTGACTGAATTTGTACAATCTTATTCATACGATCTGCTTACGTCCCATTGACGGTTAGGTTTGGGGTGCACCTTCATCCATTAAAAAGAAGGGATGGGGGAGAAAGACATACTGAGAACTGTGGGACAGCAAAATAATTCAATAATTCAATAAGAATTTCATAATAAGTTCATGAATATTTCCAAATGCTAATACCAATGGATCAACCTTTATGTGATTGATTGTGATGATTGTTATGTATTTGCCAGGTGAAGATTTGGTTCCAGAATCGACGGATGAAGTGGAAACGCAGCCGTAAAGCTAAAGAGCAGGCTGCGCAGATGGAAACAGATGGCTGTAAGTCAGGCAAGCGAGAAAACAAGCCCAAAGACCTCAGTCGCTGCAGTGCACACGATGACGATGAGGATCTGGACGAAGAGGAGGAAGATGAAGAAGAAGAGGAAGAGTTCAGAAAATCGATTAACGCAGGTGTGGGTCTACCTCACCCATCGGACTTCCTGCAGCACAGCTCCGCGCTGAGCTACAGCTCTCATGGCTCTTACTCTGATGACGACCTGGAAGAGATCGGAGGAGACCGAAAGATCAGACTCGGGTTATGAAGAACTAATGGCAGCTGCAGTCTGCATGTCCATGAACTGGACAGGTTTCAAATCCAACACCTCAAGACTGAAAGCTGTTGATGTCAAAACTATCGCTTAGACCAGATGAGTTCATCGTGACGATTATAGTCAAAAAAGTCTTAAATAAGTCTTCCGGTTTATTTGCACTTAATATTTTTTCTTGAAGGCTGCTTGTAAACTGCAAATGTACACTATTTCAAACTAATGTTTTTCTTATGTGATCAAAATCTTTACTATATATGTTAACATGAATGTTTTGGTTGAAAAAAGCTGTTGAACCAAATGAGGAAGCCTTTGCACTGAACGTCACAGGCTGTCACTTGTGCTCATTGGTCTCTTGAACACATCATGTTTAATAGTATGTAGTCGAGAGTGGATGCTGGGGAACAGAAGATTGCCCAGAGGTCATCGGTGTCAGCTTTCTTCCAGTAACTAGTGACCGGAACACTGAGGAACTGGTCAGTCCTCTGCAAATATTGAACATGGGCAAACTGTGAACAGTGCATTAGTTAGTCCATTAGTTTATGTAATGTTGATGTTGGTGTCTTTAATGTTATTTAACTGTTATAGATTATATCTAATTTATTCAACTGATATCAGGACTCAGTTTGAAGGATGTGTGCCCTTCAAAGATTGCTGGTAAAATATGTACTTGGAGACAAAAAGGAAATAAACAAAATCCATTCTCTCACTTGAACCCTATTGAAATGCTGATTTTATGTGTTCAGCTCATGAGTGAAAGGATTAAAACTGTAAATGAATATCACCTCCATCCTACATAATCATCGGCCCACTCTCCTCTCCATTTTAACCTCTAGCTGACACAGATGGTGATTAAAGCGCAGATGAATCTACAGTGCATTATAAACAATGCAGGCCCTGATATTTATGGCCACAGCCTCTCAAATATGAATTACTCAGGGGGGTTTACTGATAGGCAAATAATTAAGTTAATGAAGGAAAAGCAAAATAATCTACTCCTTATGCTGATGTCACCGGGCCATTTAATTCGAAAAGATGAATTACCTCAGTGACCAAAAGAGCATTTTTACAGGGGTGTGGTGTAAGGCCAGCAATTAAATATTAAAGCAGAGAAGGTGCAGTGTTCTCAGCCAAGCTAGAATAGAACATATTTATATGTTAATTAAATGCATTGCAGTGGCGGGAATAAACACCCTGCCAAAGTAAAGCAACAGAATTTTAACAGAATTACAGCTTCTATGCAATTATCAACGCTGTCAACTTTTTAAAAAGATATAAAACAGAAAATACCTTTGCATACTCTCCAGAAAACCCACTGTGCCACTTTATCAATAACATTTAATTTAATGATCCTCTGAGGCAATCACCTTTGCTGTCAGATTTCCTTAAGGCAAATCACTTAAGCTAATAGAGAGGTAAAGAAATGAGTGGCAGGGTCATAAATTTACACCAGCCTCAGTTAACCTCAGACAGACATATAACAGATCCTGCTATTGCAATAAATGGAGAGAAGAGCAAATAAATGTAAATGCACCACTTTAGCGTACAGCTGTTTAAAGTAATACAGATATTGCCTAATGCAGTATGGTCTTTATATGTTCATATTATCGGTCAGATGAAATTTAGGTTCATATCTGATATCGGCCCAGATCATTTATGCACTGTCTACATCCACATCTGTTTTTATATAATATGATATAAAAGCTATATGAAATATTTGAAGCCCACAAATGCAGCACTATTTGAACTCCTGTGGTTTGGGTGTTTGTTTTTTAGGTGCAATGTTGACGGATCATCCGGTGAATCCTCTAAGCTCAGGCATTCCCTTTGGAGTCACACACAACCCACATAGAAAGGTAAGGTGTTTTTTTTAAAGGTGGAAATAGTTAGATTTTATTATGTGGGTCAACATGGCAGACATGGGATCGTTGTCATTCTTTTATTTCAGCAAATATTTCCCAGGGTGGAGTTTTGTAAGTAAATTGATGTTCAAAATAAATAAATAAATAAATGTACAGATAAATAAATAAAATAACTTTATATTTAAAAGGTGTCACATTTATATAGGCTAATTAAGTTGACTATGGGACCTGCATTTTCAGCAATATTTAGACAAAGAAACAATTATAATAAAACTCAACATATATAACATATATAAACCTATAAAACCCAGTAATTTGACCCGATAAAAATTACACTTAGAACTTGTAGTTATGGAGTATAATAATTGTTCCAACCTCCGTGTTTGATAGCTAGCCCCAATTTCTTATTCAGTCTATGCTCTGTAATTATTTGTTGTTCATTATTCTTGCCTACTTAATCATGTTTCATTATTCTGCTCTTTGCAGCTAGTTTCTAATAGTATTTCTATTGTAATCGTTTATATATATAAAAAAAAAATAATAAAAAAAAAGATTTTGCATTTTTGCTTTTTACCATCAGTCTGCTAAAATGCTTTGCTGAAATACACTGCCATCTGCTGGTGAAAAAAACCAATGGACTATATGACTTGATTACCTTTATTTTCAGAGGGTCTCACGCCTCATGTCAGGGAGTCCTCTGAAAAGTACTCAAAACTGCTTCTTTGGGGTAGAAACCTGGGCTGAGTTGGTCTGGGAGGGCTGGGAGCCAGGAAATCACTGTTCCTTAAAAGCATACATGGAAAACTCCAGAAACTCACCTTCAGGTCAGTCCACTTAAAACAATAACTCATTAAGACCAAAAGTTACTTTTTCCATAATTCAAAGCAAACTGAAAGACATATTTTTTATTTTATTTATTTATTTTTTTTAACTTTTTTATTTAAATTGTATTTATTTTTATTTTTTTTGATGAATAGAATGTAAAAAAACAGCATTTATTTGAGATATAAATCTTTAGTAACATCACAAATGTCTTTACTGTCACTTTTAATAAATGTAATGCTTTGCTGAATAAAAGTGTTCTTTTTTTTATCTTTCTGACCTAAAACTTTCGAACTGTAGTGTTTAAATTGTTGTATTTTGTCCATTTCAGATCTCCTGCTTCCAAGTTCTTCAGCACACCATTTCCTCAGACCATCCTTCTGAGCCCAGGAACGTCTTACTCACTCACAGTTACTTTTCAGCCTCTTGAGAAAGTACAGTTTAAATTATCTGTGCTTCTTATTTAATATATCATCTTAAGCTGGTTATATCATTGAAGCATTCATTAATCCTATGATTATGATGAATTTTAAAATCAACATTTACAGCAAGTAATGAGAGATATTATTTGCGTGACTAGATTTGCATGTATTCTTCTTTCTCGCCTTGCTCTTTCCAGTGTGAGTATGCAGACGCTATAGCGTTTCAGGGTAAGGCAGGCACATTCCAGGTGTCTCTGCGAGCTGTGACTCCTCATCATGCCCTGGAGGTACCAGACACAGTGATGCTGCCACCTTGTGCTGCTCAGCACAGCTCCCAAACCAGCTTCCTCTTTCGTAATTCCAGGTAAAGCATGACTAAAGATAATCTGAGCTATAGAGAAAGTGCAAAGAAAGTGCTGAAACCTGTGAATGCACTGTTTGTGTCCCCAGTAAGCTGCAAACAGGATTCAAGTGGTTTGTGGACCCTCAGTTCCAGCTGTCCCCTGAAACTGGACAGTTAAAGCCTGGAGAAGAATGCAGGGTTACAGTAGAGTTTAAACTCCAGCAGGCTCTAGTGTATCAGACTGAGGCCAGCAGTGCTTTTGGAGATGATTGGGAGAGCAGCTGTGCTGTGCTTCTGCGTGGGCTGTGTGAGAACACTAAGCTTTTCAAAGAATTTCAGAAAGCACATTTAGGATATATACTGGTTGTTTCTACCATTTTAAAGAAATAAAATCATTCATTTTCTACATAGAGAAATAAATGTTTAACAATTCTGTATCCACCTTATTTTTTAATGCGGAAGTAAGCTGTTTTCTGCTTAGGGAACTGGTAGGGAAATGACAAGAAGAATAACAAAATGCAATAAACTAAAATTGTTTGTGCTACAACCCAGTATGTTTATAATTAAGACAACACATTAAAATAATATGGTAAAACACAAGTTTGCAATATCAAGCAACAAAACGAGCTGTTTTGTACAGCTAAAAATAGCTGGAAGCGGATG